CCCTACCCATCAGCGCTTGCCCTTCAGAATGATACCGTAGTCCTTTTTTGGTTCATCAAATGTTAAAAACAAGTGCCAGCTGCCAAGCTTTCATCTGATCTGACAGATTCTGCCATCTATACTTTTTTCTAATGAGGGCTCAATTTAATTCCTACTGAAGATAGATTCTTCACAGAAGATGCAACATTTACAATTTAAAGTAGAATATATGTTTTTTTTCTTTCCCCATGAGAAAAGGAACATTAAACTCAAAGATAGTTATCCAAGTCATCTGGAATGCTTTTGAAAAATGGTTTTATGTGCAGCAGTTCTCTAGGGGCATCTGCAGCTCTAATTTTGGTTTTATTTTCTGAGTTTTCTCATGTACAGTGATATAATAAAAGCTCAGTATTGAAGACAAAACTTGCTTTAAAAAAAAAAAAACCCTTAAATGCTGGTTATTACATTGACTTCTGAGATTTCATAATTCATACAGCTATGTATATAACAGAAGTGTTTTGTGTGTGTATAAAGCAAAGTGCAGTCATTGAACTAATGAAAGCATGTGCTGGTTTTGGCTGGGATGAAGTTGATTTTCTTCATAGAAGCTAGTATAGGGCTATGTTTTAGATTTGTGCTGGAAACAGCGTTGATAATACAGGGATGTTTTCGTTACTGCTGAGCAGTGCTTACACAGGGTCAAGGCCTTTTCTGGTTCTCACACTGCCCCACCAGCGAGTAGGCTGGGGGTGCACAAGAAGTTGGGAGTGGACACAGCTTGGACAGCTGACCCCAACTGACCAAAGGGCTATTCCATACCATATGACATCATGCTCAGCATACGAAGCTGGGGGAAGAAAAAGGAAGGGGGGCACGTTCGGAGTGATAGTGTTCAAGAGCCCTGCTTTCCTGGAAATGGCTGAACACCTGCCTGTGATGGGAAGCAGTGAATGAATTCCTTGCTTTGCTTTGCTTGTGTGCGCAGCTTTTGCTTTACCTATTTAACTGTCTTTATCTCAACCCATGAGTTTTCTCACTTTTACCCTTCTGATTCTCTCCCCCATCCCGCTGGGCGGGGGGAGTGAGTGAGTCGCTGTGTGGGGCTTAGTTGCTGGCTGGAGTTAAACCATGACAATGCAGAAAAATCCTTAGTCTTGTTGATGTTCACAAAGTACATAATTTAGCTTGAAGCAAATGCTTGCTTACTAATCTCTGAACATAACAGAAAATGGAATTAATCATTGGATGAAACTGGGTTAACTTCAGTCTAAATGCCTAAAACAGCAATCTTTCATTCTGTGAAAGAAGAAAAAGACAATGACACTGATTCGTAATTGGAGATTAAGGAGTGCTGCAGATTGAGCCTGTTAAGGTAGCTTCATTTCAATGGATAGACTTAATTTTCCAAGTTTTTTTCTAGTTAAGAGCATCTGAAATTCTTAAGCAGAACTGCAATCATATTACTGAATAAAAGCTCCTCCTTCCCCTTTCCTGAAATAAGAGCCGCTATTTTGGCTTTAAGGCTTTTTTCTGGTCACTACTCAAGTACCTCTGACCATGCTGTAATTAACTAAATAGTAAATTAAATATCACTGGTGGCAGTGAGGTGGTGGTAAGATGGCTAACCTAAGAACCAAACTGCATCAGAGTAAGGAAAGTGAGAAAGGAAATTAGGCAGTTTAAATCTGTGTTATTTTGCCATAAAGCTAGAACATACCAGTACTTGAAAATTTAATTTTTGATTGTATAATGCTGAAGAAATAATTTAATTTAAAAAATTTAATGGAATCTGATAATTTGTTGTTCATCATAAACAATTTTATGTGAAGATGAATTCTCCAAGTTTGCACGCAGGCGATGACTGTCCGTGCTTAAGCTGTTACGCTGCATGTTCACTGCATGTGCTACTATAAAAAGCATGGCAGTTGTCTCCTCGTGTCTTACACAGCTGGCAGCGTTGGAACACCTGGATGCAGACATTTTCAGCCATAGTTAAAATGATACTTTGCTGTCTTAGAGGGCAGGTGCAAAACAGTTGGCTAACATTAAATGCACGTGGATAAAACTTGTGTAAAGTTTGATTTAAAATATCTGGAAAAGGTCATTCTCTTCTGCTATAGTTCTGTCTAAAATATAGCATACCAACCTGAATCAGTAAAGTGAAATGCTGAAGATAAATTGCCAAGTAAAGTGCAAAATGAAGGGATTTACAAAGGATTGTTATGAAAACTTAAACAGCCTTTTCAGAACTTGTGTAAAACTAAGTATCTGCAATAGTCATGTTTAAAAGAAGCCCTGAACCCCTGAAGGGGTTTTCTCATAATCAGGAGCCATCCTATGAGAAACAGCTTTCCTGGTGCACAGAAATTTTCTCTCCTGATCATATTAATTGCATAGAAATGAAAAAATGCAAGTCATCTTGTACTGTCAGTGCAGCTTGGGACATTAATTCTTTCTAACCGGACTGCCCATTGCTCCTTTCCTTGTGCTATTATAGTACTGTCTGCTAAATGAAGTCTGGCAGGTAGGATGGAGAAACTAGCATCTCAATTGCTTCAGCTAGTCCGGGCGCAAGTTGAAAACAACTACGAAAGTCAAGGGGGCAAAGAGTTGAGGGACAAAAGCATTACGATGGACACAAAAATATCAGTGGCCTCTGCAAGTTCCTGCTTTTGATAATTTAGCATACAGTACTCCTTCCAGAATACTCACTCCAGGAGTAAGTGACAGGACACACTTAGATTATCATTAGACATCACATTAAGGCACCAGAACTTTAAAAGGAGGTAGCTCTTTGTGAAAAAATGAATCAAGCTCAAGGAGTACTTTTTTAATATGGAAATAATACAGAAAGGTAGTCCACAGAACCAGAAATAAATTCAAGGATGGTATGTGCTAAATCCTCTGAAAGACAAGTATTGTGTCACTGGTAGTTTATCCCATCTGGAATGCAGTGACTTCCCGCCCCCCACCTACAGGTTAGTGTTTTTGTGTGCGTGTGTGTCCGTCCCTAATAGTGTTAGTCTGTGTGATTCTGCGAACTGCTTACCATATTATTTATACTGCTTTAAACTGAAAATTCCAAAGTACTGCATTATGGTTATTGAAGGATTATTATGTAGCATGGAACCTTTGGGAGTGAGAGATCCACAGAAAGGTAAACCAAGTCACCTGAAGTTTTTTCTGAACACAGCATTTTTTGCTAGCGAGATGTTCGGTGGGTTCCAGAGATCAGAGCCCTTAATGTAATTCAAGGTCCTGATCCTGATGCAACATACTATTTGCAGAATCAGAAAGGGCAGCGTGGGGGATGTGCAGAACAAGATGCCAGCCTTTTCTTTACTGCCTTATAGTAGCTGCATTAGTAGCGTGTTCCACCCCCATTTTTCTGCCGTGTGATCCTCCTCTGCAGATACCCTGCATAGCCCAGTAAGATGACATTATTTTGAAATGCATTGCAGTTTCCCTCTAGGTCTAGATGACCTCCCATTCTCCTCAGACATTCCAGTGAGAGGTTATGAGAACATTAACATCTGAAGTTACAGCTAAAAGAGAGGTCTAGAAGAGTAAGGTAAACCTGCAAGTTAGTCAAAATGGAGTTCCAACTCCGTCTGAGAGAAATCACAGTGTACATACAGTCAGTTTTCTGTTGTTTTGGGTTTTTCTGTTTGGGTTTTGTTTTTTTGGTTTTTTTTTGTTTTGTTTTGGTTTTTTTTAAAAAAAAAAAAGAGAGTCCAAAACATAGCTAGCTGTGGCACCTCAAAGTAATTACAGATACTTCTACCCTTGGTACAGTTTCACAGCACTGCAGGAAGTTCTCAAGGAAGATGGCAAAAGATTTTTGACAGCTTCCCCTGGTCTTCAAGAAATGAATGGGTGAACATTTTCTGAAGTAGCTTGAACATGAAATTTGCTCGTTTGATTAAGGACAGGCAACTTATTCAAAATCAAGGCGGGTCTTCATGCAGTGAATCACTGGGTTCTTTTATCTTTTCAGATGGCACGACTCATACATTCAACAACAGAATAACTCAACTGTAATAACTGATCCTTTCTGTGTTGACAGCAGAGAAGGGGTAATGGTGTGTATGAAGTCAAGAAAACTTTTTAGTATTACAATATCAATGCATGATTCTATCCAAAGAAGAAAAGTAGGATGCGTACATTTTAAATTTGGCCACCTTTGTCTTTAACTGGAACATGGGTAAGAATCATCTTAGTTACATAATTAAGGCTTCAATAAAGAAAAAAATAATTTAGCCATTTTGCAATGTCTGCAAGTTTACTTCTGCAAACAAGTGTCACAGATTTTTGCAAGGTAGCTGGTCCAAAAGCAGTGGCACTTTCTCCATCTGTTTCACTTATTTTTATCACCCTCTTTTTCCTCACCTGCTCTGAATTTTCAGAGTATAAAAGGAAAGGTCTGTTGGTCCTGGGTTTGCTCTGCTGCTAGGAGGTATCACTAGTCTGAGTTAGGATCTGGTAGAGAATCCACACTCTAGGATCTGGATACTGAGACTAAGAATATGCAAGTGTTATTTGAAGAATGTCACTTCTGTTTCCAATAAGGTCCTAGATCTTTTCTCTGCAAGATACCCCAGTTTGTTGATGAAAGAAATAGTATTGCTGGAAATGGCATTTTTCAAAAGTAAACAATGCAGCTTTAAAAGCTGATTTTGTTTTTTCCTCAAATAAAAATGATAGTTAGAAGCTGCATTATCAAAAGCTTAATATGATCTTTATGTCCTTGGAAGTCTCTTTACCTTTGTAACTGTCCTGAACTGGGTAAAGATAGTGGATCCATGTACATGTACATTAGCTAAGGCTCTACTTAAGGCATTCTTTTAGTACAGTGATCTTAGCATTTCATTTTTCTTTCTTACCTGTACTGTCCTCAATGAAGATTTTAAGGAGCCAGTTCTTTGCAGGGGAGACTTTGAATTTGCACGAACTATGTCTAAGCGAGACTGATAGTCTGGTGGATAAAGTGAGCTCCGAAAAACCTGTTCAAATGAAGAAAGCTGTGATTTGGGTGCCATGATACAGCTCGCAAGCTAACAGTCACCAACACTGAAGCCAACAAAAATGCAGCATTGGACAATTAAACCTGCTCTAGAGATGTGCACCAACTGTGGTTTGGATTGATCACTTTTAGCTGAAACAACATCCTTGCTCAACCTGAGACATATCAACACACTTATGTGGTCCAAGTAAACATTCTTCAGAGATCTGAGGGTATTTACAAATGGAAAACTGCAATGGTTTCCCACCAACATATGTAGCTGAGTTTCAGGCTAACCTAGAGGTATGAACCCCAGCAACTCCCTTCAGGCTCTCCATTTCTTGGAGAGATGAACTCTTAGCCCCTTCACAAACAAATACTTGCTGCATCAGAGAAATTTTTCCCAAAATGTTCAGGAGACGTGGAGCTCAAGAAAAATTTGGGAAAACCCTTAGAATATAGGGGAGACTGTAATATCCATTATATTTACAAGTTCTTTCCAATAGCCAAAAAGAGTAAATTATAAGACTAACAGCCCGATACTAAAAACAATAAAGCTATTTGTGCAAGACTTTAAAGTCAAGGAGATGGTAGAATTATGGTCAGTCGATATTTTTATGGAAAGTAAATATTGTCCAATTAACAGGAAACTTAAAATGAGATTAGAAATTCAGTTGTGAAAGTATCGACTTAAAGGATATTTTCAAATTGGTGCCACATGACATTTTAACTGTGAAACTAGAATAGTACAAAACTGCCACGGTGTAGTTTAAATGAAGTAAAAATACCAAGTAGTCTCAAACGTGACTGTAACTGAAGAATCATGATTTTATATGTCTTGCACTAACTGAATACTGCCATCCTTGGTCCTGAGCTATGTCATGGAAAAAATAAAATTAGGACTGATAAGATTTACAAAAAGACTGAATATGATCCAACTTTCTTGATAAGTTGAACACATACACACAACATGTATTTCAATGATAGTAAGTTTAAAGGCCCAACATCCAGAAGAACTGCAAGAATGAATAAAGGACTGAAAAACGTGTCTTGGGAAAGAGAGACTGTAATTCAGAGAACAGAAAGGGCGACTTGAAAGGAAGCTGTAACTGCCACAAGGCACAAAAAGCAATTTGGTAACAAATGCCTCTTAATTCTAGAACAGCATAATAAAAAACTGAAAGATGAAAACAAGGAAACAAAACTCAGAATAGAAAGGAGAGAGAGATTTTTAATGAAGTAATCAGTCTTTAGAACATCTTATCAGAGCAGTGTAAGATTTTCTCTTACTGTGCATCTTTACAGCGAGATTCACTGCAGAGGACTATGATTAGCTGAGCCTGGAGTAGCAGTTAATTTAGGAAAAGTCTCTTATCTGTATTTTGTGGGAAAGATTAGATTGCCACTGCAGCAGTTCTCTGTTTTGAAAAATCTCTCAGTTTATAAACCTGTATGCTCTAGCTGGAGAAGTGCAAAAAAGGGCTCGGTATACATATGAAGTTTGTTCTGGGAACCTGAAACATATGTTGCATTTCCTACCTGGGACATGTATAGCCCCAAAGTGTGAAAGCTGTTTTTGTGTAGTAAGTAAATTGAAAAGCAAAATCTTAATCACTCTTACCTCTAAATCTTCGTTTTCATCAATATTTTGGATATTTTGGTAGGCAGCAGTATATATCTCTAAAGCTTTCCCATGGAATAACATTTCAATAGTTATAAATTCAGAAAATATGTTCTAAAAGCAAATGAAAACAAAGGTTTTCTTAATGCAGTAAAGTACATTACCACTTCAAATACAAGAAATTACTGAATTCTGTACTTGGTATTTATATGATACAAATAACTGCATGATATCTAGTACATCAGCTCTAGTAGTCAGACCTGAATTTTAGCAATTAAACATAAATGCTGGCTGAGCTGTCACTTATGCAGTTGTCATTTCATACTAAATTCTAAGTAAACACTTGAAAAGGAAAGAGGAGAATCATTAGGAATAAATAAAGTGTTACGTTGAAAACTCACTTGATATTCCCTGATATGTATTCGCAAGATATAGTCGGTGGATTTTTGCTTTATTGATGGCAATCTTTTTTAACAGGTTGGGGATAATTTATTTGTAAATTCTATACATATCTATAATTTACAGATATTTATTTTATATAATAAAATATTCTTTATACGTAAAACACTTAATGATGACATTTTCAGAACTCACACAATTTTTTTCCATATTACTCGTAACATCAAGTAGTGGTTGGTTTGGTTGGGTTTTTCAACCATCTTTCATTCTTTCCTATTTAGTCTTTTTTTTTTTTTAATTAAAAAAGTATCTCACTTCAGCAATTTTATAATTAAATTCATGATCACATAATGCAAGTGCTTTTCAGTCAACTATAGTCTTTGGGACTTAAGCCACTTAAATGTTTGACATTAAGAGAGACATGAAAGCTTTGATTACTTGCAGTGACTGAATACTTTGTGCTTTCTGCATCAGTAAAACTTTTAACTGCAGTAACCTACACAAATTTCAGCATGGATAAATATATTATTTACTTATCACTATTTCTGTTAATTTTGCTGATATTAATCCACATAGATCATTCCACTAACAAACACAGCTACCAGCAAAGTAGAATACAGCAGCTGTTGGAAGGTGCAGATGCTAAACAATTGGATATAGGAAAATTCTGAATTCAATAAACTGTAAGAATAATGAACTGATTTTTTAATTGCAAAGTTCATGATATTTGCATTATGAAATATTCATGAATACCACAAGATTTGTATTTATGTAGGCTTAAGTTAGTACTAAATGTTGCTAATCTTGCCGAAGACTAACTATAGTCATTTTATTATGCAAGATGAAATGTGATGTCATATACTGAAATGTGAGCATACATACTTTTATGTCCTTTATTTTCTGTTTCTCAAAATTATCAATGGTTTCCTCTAACTGGCGAGTTGTTCGAGTTGCATCCAATGAAGCTCTCTGCAATTCACTTTCAGCCTGGTAAAGTAACACAAAGGTGAAATTAGTCCTGTATTTGATACAAAGATATTTGCTCTAATTGCCACGAAAACATTTAAGTCTGGGTTTTCAAAATATTACACATCTGTGTTACTGTATTTGTAAATTTGTTTGTAGCTTAATGGACAAATAAAGATGCCTTCTACACCATTGTGACTTTGATCTGAAACATGAAAAATGACTAGCTGCAGCCAGTCAGGAAAGTCTCACTGCCCTAATCCATTTTCTGTAATAATCATCCGCTAATTCCACTGAGCCAGCGCTGATGACACAGTGACTGGGTTCAGGGAATTAACCCAGTACAAGGGTTTACCCTTCAGAAAAGTTTTTTTTTTTTTAAGCTGGTGTAAAGGAGAGGGCAGGAGTGCACAGACCAGAATGCTGGATGAGTTGAAAAGATCACCCTTTATTTTCAAGTGCAGATCAACCTGCTGGGTCTAGAACAAATCTTTTCCAATGTCATGTGCTGAACCTCATCTTACTAAGTTTTTATAAATTATTTAAATAGACAATAAAGCAGCAGCTGGAACTAATGCACTTCTCCCATAAGTACCTCAATCAGCAGACTAGAGTTAATACCATTTTTAGATCCAAAAGCATTTCAGGTATTTTATATTTTTAGTATTTTTATACTATTAAAACATTTTATAAAAATCATCTTCAACAGGGCACTGGGAAGGGGACACACCAACCGATCCCTAATGCATAAACACAGTTTTTCTTATTTTGTTACTACAAAAAACATTTTAGATATGTATTTTAATTAGCTGTAAGTATGAACTGTATAAAAGTGCACACTACTATTTAAATAAAGATATTGAAGCTATTCTGCTTAAGTCTGAGAACTGTGTACTATTACAAAATAATGATGTAAAGATGTAAGAGCTTGCTCCTGAAGACTGCAAAATTTGGGTCTGAACTTATTTTCCACACATTACTGGTCAAACATCATAGACTAGTCAAGACAGTACTTATTTACAGGCTCTGTCAGTGAGTATCATCAGGCAATCTATCCTGTCCTGCGATTTGGAAATAGTATATGGATCAAGTAATTGTATCTTACAATCAAGTCGTAGGATTCTTCCCATTTCTACACCACTGCAACTTAACTTTTTTTTAAAAACGGAAATAGACACCACAGGCCCGGTTTCCATGATGTAGTTTTTAGTGTTATATGTATATGGAAACCTAAGGCATAAGGCATGCTCTGTCACTTCTTGTTTGATTAAAATCTGGTAACCTTATATTACAGGATTATCAATTTGAAACAATCTCCTTACAAAAATGGTTTAAAGTCATTGACACAATTCTGCCATTACTGGGCAAACAAAATTGGTAATGATCTTTAGTAGTACGTAAGGTCACATGTTCATCTCCCTTTCTTGATTTTGCCCAAAACACAGGCAGGAAACAGAGTACGAAAAGACATTTTGTGTATTCTCAATTATTACAATCAGTCACTATCTGTAAATGAAGGCAGCTGTTATGCATAAGCAGCCATTACACTACAAATACAGTATGTTAGTTCTATGATAATCAAATATATCTTCTCAATCCTTTAAACAGACTGGCCAGATTTTGTGCACAGATGCGTTGGGAAAGGAATTTTGTTTGTTGTAGAGTGACACGTCTAAACTTGCAGAACCCGCGTAGTTTGCACAACAGCAGTTTGATATTTTCTCTTATGAAACACACACCTGTGACTGGAAATATTAGTTAAGGAAAAAATGGCAAAATAACAATATTCATAAAAGTATCTGTTTTCACTTCTACTTTTAATATATTGTGAAGTATTTACCTCAGATATTTCAAAACTTCTGTATACTTGGAGGGTGCTATTATTATGTTGCCTGAAGCTTACTGCTGTAAGACATTACTTACAGTTTATTATAGCTTTGCTACAATTCAAGTATCCAGGCCAGAATATTTCAGGACATCTGTTTGTCTTGGACTGAGGGTTTGGTTATTTATTTATTTATTTATTTAAAAAAAAAAAAAAAAATCAGACCACCTAGGTAGGCCATTTCAGAAAAAGAAAAACCTATTTTTATTTAAAAAAAAAAATCTGGTAAGGTTTTCTTTTCAAAACTGTACTACCCCCACATTTTATAAGATGGACTTGAAATCTGCGAGTGAGCATAGATCCTTTGCTATCTGTGGCCAGAGTCATTAGCTGCTGAAACATCACAGTTGCTCAAGAATAAGAGAACCACTGCTGGAGCCTAACAGCTATGCTAACGAACATGGTGAAGCCTCTCTCAGACTTAAAAGCTGACCTGCATACATCCTCAAAAGCAAACGAACATATTCCTGGTCCCAATACTTTTTATGCATTTTATGTTGATCATTTTAAAATGCAAATGTGTAGCATTTGGTGCCTTTGGCCATATGCAAAACCAGACTGTACTGAGATTTAATAACTCTTCAGGCAAAGTCTTAACTACAGATAACACAGGTGTTACAAGAAGCTAAGCCACAGAAGGGTATTTGGGAGTAGCTTAGCAAAGAGACAAGAAGAAACAAGCTAGGTGCCAGCCATATATGCATGAAATCAACTGGGAATTAGCGTAAGAGGGAGAAAAATGGGACCAATCTCCCTTTAGGGAGAATAGCTTACTGTTATCATTTACTCCCTTAATTCTGATGGAAGAGAACTCTGCATCACAGCTCAAGTTCTAACCCTATGGCTGACATCTGTGTGTCTTTGTTACATGAGGAACTCTAATTAGTCATCACTTGATTTAACTGACTTGATGAATATTAAATGGGAATTCTTTGGCAGAGACAAAAATAAAATGTAGTTCTCCTGGGTGGCATTTGACCATCACAATTATTTTCGCTCTTTCTGCAGTCCCATGCCCCAGTCACTGGAAAGATCCTAATTTCTGAAATTAAGTTGATGAAATCCTACAAAGAATAGGACTGCTTCACTCCTGAGTCCAATGCTAAAGCGCAAGAAAAAAATAAACAGAACATCATCACGAATTTAAACGCTGTATCATAATACATAGGCATAAAGGGACTCAAGTAGGATTGCCTTGATCCCCTTTATTTTGGCATCTCCTAGATTCTGCTTGCTTCAGAATTTGAAAATTCAATGAGATTTTAATGGAAATCCTGTGGAGGCTTCATTCTTCCCTCTGTGATACAGAATAGTACACTGGGGAGGGTCACTGGTCTTTTGAAAGGAAGAGCAATCTGGTTGAGTATTCTACTAACAGAATAACAACTTTTCCTTTCACGCTTCATCTCACAGCTGGAGGAAACTCTTACCCCATCTAGGTACGAGAAAGCACAACAACTACCAAAATGAGAGGGAGAAAAACAATAAAACAAAAAAATCCACAGAAGTAAAAAAGGAGTTGTCTGATGACACTTCTTTTCAAAAACCTCCAATCTACGCCTACCTCTCTTGCATAAACACATCAAATACTTTGTAGTTTCTTTTCAATCAAAAAGGGAGTGAGTAACAAATATACAGCATATAACATGAGCTGTAACTCCTCATAAAGTTTGAGATTCAGCATCAACATAGGAAAAAGTCCCTCTAAAGAGCATTCTTCTCTTATTTTCTAAACACAATAGTTTAATTCCCAAGAAATTTTAAGAATATTTCTTATAGCCACTAGAAATACAGGATACAATAATGTGTCGATCTGATGGATTCCGCTGACGTGTCTTTTCCAGTTGAGATAATTGCTTGGCTTCTCGGTTCTTTGCCGTTAAAGTTGCTTTAAGATCATCCTGAAAATAGAATGTTTTAGACATGTATGAAATAGATCTAGGATAATACAAAATGCATTTTTCTTCATACATGCATTGCTTAGAAAACATGAACAAAACTTCTGCTGTAAACAAAACCAGATTTTACTGATCTTACCCTGTTAAATGATCCCCTGAAACAGAAGTCAGTGGGGACCAAGAGTTTAGCACCTTGCACAACTCTCTGTAGCACACGCTATAATTTAAAACATGGGGAAAAAAAGAAAAAGGTATTTTACAGCTTTTCATGAAAAGTACAGTAGATCACCAAATGCTGAGATCCCCAAAGCAGTAAGAAGACAGGCCCATTCCAGGCTTAGCAATGGAATAAAGGTGGCACTTGGAAATAAAAAGTGGCATCAAATAAATCAGTAAGAAAAAAACAAAACAGGCAGCAGTCAGTGCCAATCAGAAGTTATGAAGAACATAGAACTGCTACACAGACTTTAAGGTACCATAGGAAATCCATGGCTGAAAGGGTTAAACGGCATATTTATATATGCCTTTACTAAGGTGTTTAAATTCATTTGGAACAAAATACATCCTAGTAGTGATGTAGCTGGAGAAGATGAAACTTGCTGATCTAGAAAAGGCAGAAACTGTTGATAAATATTTTTGCTCCTCATTTCCAAAGGAGAAGTAGGATGTACTTCTAGGAAGATCCGCGACAATTTAAGAATGTTTACATACCATTCTCGAATTCTTGTTCATGCTATAAAACTGTGTTTTACAAATAGTTTGGCATACATGGAATCTAAAATTGCCAGTCAGATATGTATCATTCCATTGACCCTGGTATGGGAAATTACATTAATTTTGATGGCTCTAGTTTAAAGGAGCAGTACCTTAGAACAAGCAGAAATACAGCCCAAAGGAATTAGGTCTAACAAAATCTGAGGCAGGAGTTGGGCATGCATTTCAAACCATCATTTCCTCTAAAAAGACCAGTTCCCATTTATCTACCACTTCAGAACAGAGTGGATTAAAGCTATGAAAAACTGTAATCTCAAGAAGCTGTCTGTGCTCCTTCCCTGGATTTCAGAATTTTAACATGGTTGTATGTCTCCTTCACCCAGAAAGACATGCAACCAAGAATGCCCCTCTTACAAAAAGTTCTGCGATCCTGTGACAAGATCAGTAGTCAATGACAAGCGCAAGTGTGCCAAGTTTCAGAGTGCCGTGTTTCTTCAATAATGAGTCAGTACACGAGGTCAGGATCAAAACACGCAGTTTCTTCCTTGTTTCTATCCTCACTGTCTGTTTGTATGTCCTTGTGTTTACAACTGTCATTTTGCTTCATCTTTAGGGACACAGAGCTGGTTTCTGATAATAAAAAGAACTGCATCTTCAGCCCATCAAACCTGATTTTGCTGCTGTTCTTTCAAAAGGGCATTTACAGCACCTTTAAGGCCACCTGAAAGACTTCTGGAAAGGGCTTTCTCCTTTATGAAAACCATGTGGCTGCAAGAAAAGCAATAACAGAAAAAAAATCTTTTATTGCTTTACACTTTAAATTTTAAAGGCAGAGAAAGAGAAGAGAAAAAGATATTTATTTTTGCCATAGAACAAAGCAGTTTTGTATCTAATGGTCACAGCTGCATGCTTAGTGTTATTTAATGACTGGGCCCCGTTAACAGCACTGACTTTCTAGGCCCATTTAAAACAGTCAATCAGATTTAACACTGGGGCTGAAAGGGTTCTGACTTTCACGCAAAGTATACTTGAGAATGCTAACGGAACCGCTAGAGTTACCATTATAAAATGCAGTATTTTCTTTCTAGGACATAGTGACTCTGGAAGTCCCTAGAAGGGACTGCACTGTTCCCTTCTCTACCTTTGCTCTCTGTAGCAACAACAGCTATCAAACATACTTCTCTGCTAGCCAAAGCCTGACAAAGATTTGGTGGCTATAGTAGTGGGGCTATATACCAGTTTTGGATGTACAAAGATAGGGCACAGTTACATACACATTTTGTCTAGGATGTTGAAAAACTGAAAAAGGTGCAGAAAGAAACATAAAAAAATTCAAAAGCTGGGGAAATCCCATTATGGTGAAAGAATTAAGGTCTACATTATTAGCTAACTGAAAAGAATGAAAAATGCGTTTTATTAGCATCTAAATACCTTCATCCAGAAAAAAAGAGAGCATCACAGAGCTCTTTAGTCTCGGTGGAACATGTAATAAGAACCAAAGATTAGGGGAAGTCTTTCATTTAAAACAAAACACCACCATCAACTAACCACTAACTACCACAAACAGTCCTACATACCCCTCCAGTGTCTTCGGCCCAAGATTTGATATGGTTTTGGAAAATATGCTTTAATTACACCCAAGGAGAAATGGAATGGAATGCAATAGGCAGTGAGATAAAGGACAGGTACAGAGAACATAAAATTATTCTTAGTCCCTCTGGCTTTAAACTATGAATTCAAGTCACACAAGAACTCTGGTCAGCCAACTAAGTTCAAACCATACAGAAGTACAGCTACAGTCCATCCACCAGACAATGAGCTGGCAGATCCTCATCACTGTACTGTTACCTGCTGTGGTCACTGAAGTTATTAAAGCAAGCCAATCCTTTCTTCTGCAGGTGGATCACCTTGGTTTTATGATGTCCTGTTTCATATGAAGAAAAGGAACCAGGAACAGAGTTGCCAAAAAGCAGAAAAGTGAAGATTGAGATATAGAGCAATGAAACAGAAAGAAATCCTAAAATCCTACATTTAAGCTGCATTACAGGACAAGAATATTATGCCAGCTTCCACTGAAGTTGCCAAATCCTGCCCCACAGAGCTACTCTGCATAGTAAACCAGGACATGTGAATGAAACAATTTTATTGCATTAGCAGTTAAAGGAGAACACTAGTCTGATTGACCTGGGCCTCTTTAAAGCATTTAGTATCACAGGACATTGATATCTACCCCGTGGAAACAGCAACAGTTCTTTTTGGATATAGCACAAAAATAGTTTGTGCACGCCCTTGAACAGATCCACTAAGTAGCAGTGAGAACACCCCCTTTATAAAAAGTGCTACAATGACATATTCTGCCTGATTTTACTTAATTAGCTAATGTAGTTACAGGTAAAGAGGTCCTACAACTAGCACCCTGTGCTAGCTGTACGCGAGTGACGAAACTTCCTTTTTCACTAAAAATGTCCCAGTGCTTAAAGATGATAACTGAAGACCAGACAGCTGAAGTTTTAACCAAGGCTTATGGTAACGGGCAGGGGGGAAAAAAAAAAATTAAATAGCCTACATCTTTACTGAAGCCTCTCTTAGTTCAAAGGTACATTGATAAAATAGTTAATCCCATCTAGAGTTTAAGAATGCTCTTGTACTCCTCACTATAGCCAATATAAATATTATGTAATGCTTTCTGGCATTCTGAAAGGCAAAGAAAGACAACAGGGAATGCCATTCACTGTTGCAAGGGATGACCTGGCTTCTTCACTTGCTTCTGTCCTCAGCATTTACTGGCTATCAGTGGCCATGCACCTCAAAACAGTATCTTCAATGCTTCAGAAGCCCCAAGCACTGCTGTAGAGCTGTGTTGTCTCCTCAGCAACGCTACTGCCACAAACACATGAACCTTGTCTTCCACCCTCAACATTTATAACCTATAGAATACTCAGTCAGTTCTAGGTCTCACAAACTGGGTTTCAGAGTGACTATTAAGACACTGAATTCTAGGATACAGGCTCTATAGTCTACAACTTTGCTAAGGTCTACCAGACATAGTACCACTCAAGTGCAGGATGCATTTCCTTCATAATAGTTTCTCTAACAACCAAGTCAGGTAGCTGTGCAGTTAAGTTCCAAACACTGCACTTGGTTCTTCACCGTATGGAAGATACAAAACCAAAAACATATGAAAAAATGCTAGTTTGAGATGCAATGCCACAATGTACTCAAATTAACCATGATGAACAAGCTGTAAGATTTTTGTACGTAAAATACCATCAAATAATGATCATTTTACCTTTTGACTTATACAGATTATGATACAGATATATAAATCAATTATAGATTTGAGTTTACAGGATGAAGGTATCCTGTATGTAATATAGAAGTACTATGAAGAACTACTGTCATCCTATAAACTAGTATCTGCTTACTAAAATTTACTTGCTCAAGCTTATCCCTCCTGGAGGAAAGAAATTTACAGATATTTTGTGGAAATATTTCAAACCCCTATATACACACTGTTTCCAGAATATAGTGAATGAAGAAACCTCAGTTTTTCATGTATCTTCAGGACATCCTGATGACTTTGCAGGACAGAGAGGGATTCAGGCCATTACCTATTTATCAGTTTCAAAAAGTGTCTTCTATGTTATGAACTTCAACACAGAACACAATCGTAAGTTAGAAAAGCTGTTAAAGGCAGCCAAGAGATGACTAAAAGCCAGAAGCATTACATGTTGTGGTGGGTTGACCCTGGTACCCACCAAAGCCGCTCGATCACTCCCCTCCTCAGCTGGACAGTGGAGAAAATATAACAAAAGGCTCATGGGTCGAGATAAGGACAGGGAGAGATCACTCAGCAATTTATTGTCATGGGCAAAAGAGACTTGACTTGGGGAAATCAGTTTAATTTATTGCCAATAAAATCAGAGTAGGATGAGAAATAAAACCAAATCTTAAAAACACCTTCCCCCCACCCCTCCCTTCTTCCCAGGCTTAACTTCACTCCCAATTTTCTCTACCTTCTCCCCCAAGCAGCGCAGGGAGACGGAGAATGGGGGCTGTGGTCAGGTCAGTTCATCACACGTCGCCTTTGCTGCTCCTTCCTCCTCAGGGGAAGGACTCCTCACACTCTTCCCCTGTTCCAGGGTGGGGTCCCTCCCACAGGAGGCCAGGAGCCTGCTCCAGCACAGGCTTCCCACAGGGTCACAGCCTCCTTCAGGCATCCACATGCAGCCCATGGAGGACCCTGTGCTAGAGCAGGTGGATATCTGCTCCACCGTGGACCTCCATGGGCTGCAGGGGGACAGCCTGCCCCCCCATGGTC